TTATTTTATACTGCAGCTTTAACTTTAACTTCTGTAAACAGAGTCGTTCCAAATGGTTTGGATGGTTCTAGAGAAACTTACCGAGGCAGAATTGTTCACAGTGGTGACCTGGTCTGGGGTCAGTCAGTGGAGTCTGTAGCATTCGCATACAGTTTACTTTATATGTGACAGTTGAAAGGTTGTTACGCACTGAAAATGACGTGAATGTGTGACAAAAAAATGATGAATATTTATATATTATTTTTGGCTTCATAACTACAAACACTGGATGTGATGGGTTTTGTTTTTGTACAATTTCACTGTGTTTTTGGTCCCAAGCGTGATTGTTGATCCCAACGTCTGTTGGTAGGTAATCTAGTGTGTAAGGCCTTCAGTCCAGCTCCTGAAGTCCTAACCAATAGGAGAGCTCTCTTAGCTGTATCTACTGAGATACCACAGAGAGAACAATCTGATTGGATAATTTTCTGTTGGGCGTTTTAAGATTTTAACCCAAAACTTAACAATGAAATAAGAGTATTACTGTAATACTTACAGAGTTTAAACACAACAAACACCACGATTCTGTTAAATACCTGGAAAAGTGCATCTTATGAAGAAAATGCAGAGTGATTGCACAGCATATGGTGTCCCAGGTGGTTGCTAGGGTGTTGCTAGAGGGTTTCTATTGTGTTCCTGGTAGTTACTAGGATGGCATGTGTGGTGGTTGCTAGCATGTTCTATGGTTGTGATGGTGTTGTAGCTGGTTGCTAGGGTGTTGCAAAGTGGTTGCTATGGTATCCCAGGTGGTTGATATGGTGTTGATAGGAGGTTGCAATGGTGTTCCTAGACGTTACTAGGATGATATGTGTGGTGGTTGCTATGGTATCCCAGTTAGTTGATAGGGTGTTGATAGGTAGTTGCTATGGTGTTCCTAGAAGTTACTAGGATGTTGCAAGTGTGTTGATATGTGGTTGTTATAGTGTCCAAAGGGTGGTTTGTAGGGTGTTGCTATGTGTTGGCTTAGGTATCACTGGTGGTTGCTAAGGAGTTGCTGAGTGGGTGCTATAGTGTCCAAGATGGTTGCTAAGGTGTTGGCAGGTGGTTGCTAAAGTATCCCAGGTGAGTGCTGGGATGTTTTGAGGCAGTTGCTATGGCATCACACGTGGATGGTAGGATTTAGTGAGTTTACTATTGTGATGTAAGTGTGGTGCACTACCATTTGCCTACCATTCAAATCCTATGGGAGCGAAAATCGTTATTTAAGGTTCATTGAATTAAAATCACACGTCTGATCAAAATGCTGCATACAAGTGGTTCCCGAGTTGGAGCAGTGTTGATCTCTCGAAAAACTGCCGGGTGAAAAATCAGACACAAAAATACTCACTTTAATTATGATAATAACAACATACCATTAGGATAACAGCAGTGTTACTGGAGAACTAAAAAAGAACTAAAAGTTCCAGATGGGCCAGGTCAGCTTCCAGAAATCAGTGGACCTTCTCTGAAGATCCAGAAGGCCCTGCTGGTTCCTCTCTGTTAAAGCCATTTCAAAGACTTTGCTTCGTCCTCTGAAAGGTTCTTCACTGTGTAAACACTCCAGATTTATAAATCCTGATTTTTAAATAAGTTTGTTGTTTATCCTAAACAGCCGTCCATCACGACCACCTCAAAACAAAACAACTCCCAAAGTGTGTCCATCAAGCTGACCACATGCAGAGCCAGAAGTTCCAGTTCAGGCGGTCAGCTGCGGTGAAAACGAGGCATTTCCGCAGGACGGTGAGAGGACCATCCTGCAGATGATTCATGCGCTTATGGTTACCAACTAAAATCATGCTTCAGCCCTAAAACGGCGCCGGGCAGCGTCTGTTATTTTTACTAAACGGTCCTGCAGGGCATTCTGGGGTTTTGGGTGAGTTCTTTTTAATCTTGGCGGTCAGTGAGATCACTGAAGATGCAGATGCAGGCTGCTATTTAGAGTGAAGAGTGATAGAACTGCCCTCTCATTCCACTTCAGTAATGGACCCACCATGCAGTGCAGTAACTCAGCGCTGCCAGCAGAGGGAGACAATTCGCACTGCGCAGAGTGCTGCTTACTGTTCCTCTAGACGTGGATAAAGGCCTAAATTTAGACTCAAAAGCATGATTCACCGCTGTCAGTACAGTTTAATCCCAAACTAGGCGTAATCCGTGTCCAGGAAGCTGAAAATATTTGGACACGGTGTGTTTAAAGTGAGGATGATGCCTGTGTTTGTGCAGCTGCTTCATCCTGGCAAAAGCACAGCATGGAGAAAAATGAACACACAAAACTTTTATTTCGTTTTTACAAAGTTCACAAGTTCAGAGGCGTTATTTACAGCAACACTGCCAACGTTCAGTGCCGCTCAGCTCCATCATCCATCACTGTTTTCCACAATCAAGCATCATTAAACTCGCTTCATTCGGGGAATTATTTTAGGTCAAATCCAATTAAATATGAAGTGTAGATGGGTAGGAACTCTCATAAACACTAAACTGTGTTGTTTTTACAGTAATTACGACTGTACACCACTTTAAAAGTCCAGCAGCAGACTTTATTACAGGTGTTATAACAGCCCTGACTGACTGAATGAAGCAGCTCCACTAAACTCTGTTTCACTTTCAGATTGAATGCATTAATAATTAATCCCTGCTGAAGCTGCTGAACAGCATAGCTGTTATAGCAGTTTTGAAAACCACTGCTAAGAGCTGATGTTTTGTTAAGGAGCACAACAGAGCAGGGCGGAGTGGACTGTGTTCAGACCGGGAGTTACGGGATGAGACCAGCCCACCTCAAGCTCCAGTGCCGAGCCGTGACTGTTAGAGCTCGGCCTTCGGTTTGAACCTGTTCTGACGAGGCTGATTCAACTTTTCCGTTCCACCTTAAACGCACCAGAATGTAACTGCTGCAGCGTTTAAGGTGGAATGGAAAATTTGAAAAAGGCAGTTCTAGATCAAACAGTGATTTGAAGCTTCTAAGAGATGCTCCACGTTTTACTTGAGTCTTGTGACACACATTAATGTATATTTTACGTCGTATCAGTTTAGATAACAAATCATAACAGTGTTATTTTATATATAAATAATCACAACTAAAATACTGCTGTGATTTATTGAAAAACTCCTTCTTTACAGAATTGTTTCAATTTGGCTACATTGGAGGGTTTTGAGCAGAAACTGCCTGTTTAAGGTTTTGCCCCAGCATCTCAGTGGGGTTTCAGTCAGGACTTTAGCTCAGACACTCCAAAACCTTCATTTAGTTTCTTCTGAGCCAATCAGAGGTGGACTTGCTTGTGTGCCTCAGATCATCGTCCTGCTGCAAAACCCAACTGGACTCGAGCTTTAGGTCATGAACTGACGGGCGGATATTCTCCGTCAGGATTTTCTGATACAGAGCAGAACTCATCGCTCCATCAGTTATGACAAGCCATCCAGGTCCTGCAGAAGCAAAGCAGCCCCAGACCATCACACTGCCACCACCATGTTTCACTGTTGGTATGATGTTCTTATGGTGGAATGCAGTGTTCGCTTTACGCCAGATGTAACGAGACTCATGTCTTCCAAAAGGTTCCACCTTTGACTCATCAGCCCAAAGAATATTATTCCCAGAAGTTGTGGGGCTCATCTAGATGTTTTTTGGCAAATGCAAGACGAGCCTTTGAGTTCATTTTGGTCAGTGGTTTGTGCTTTGCACCTCTCCCATAGATGCCATTTTGCCCACCATCTTTCTTATTGTGGAATCGTGTACACTGACCTTAACTCAGGCAAGTGAGGCCTGCAGCTCTTTAGAGTTGGTCTGGGTTCTTTTGTTCCTCCTGGATGAGTCGTTGATGCGCTGTTGGTGAAATTTTGGTAGGCTGGCCACTCCTGGGAAGGTTCTCCACTATTCCAAGATTCCTCCATTTGTGGATAACAGCTCTCACTGTGGTTCTCTGGAGTCCCAGAGCCTCATCAGTGGCTCTGTAACCCGTTCCAGGTAGATTTCAGTGAGTTTGTTCTGCATCTGTATTTGAATCTTTTTAGAATGAGAACGTTTAGCTGCTTCACGCTGACAGACAGGTTCTGTTTAAGTGATGTTCAGATTCAGCAGGTCTGGCAGTGATCATGTCTGGGTGTGGCAGTGAAACTGAACCCAGTAGTCAATTGAATATACATATGTACATATATATATATATATATATATATACACATATATATAAATATATATATATATATATATATATATATACACACATATGTATCAAATATATATGTATATACATACACCCTTAAAAATGATGGTTGTTCAGGAGTTTTTTAGTAAAGAAAATGGTTCTTTATAGAACCATGAACACTCAAAGAACCTTTTGCATGCTTAAATCGTTCTTTGCATGGTGAAATGGTTCTTCAGATTGATGGAGAATGTGTTGGTTCTAAACAGCACTATAAGGGTTCCGCTATTGCTATGATGTCAAGCTTGTAACAATAGAAGAACCATTTCTGGTGCTATGTAGAAACATCAAGTGTTCTCTGCCTCATGGTGAAAATGTTCTTTAGACTGATGGAAAATGTGCTGTAGATGGTTCTATATAGAACCCTTTTAAAAATGGTTATATATAGCACCAAAAAGGGTTCCTCAATTGTTACAATCTTGACATCATAGCAATAACAGAACCATTTTCAAGTGTTCTCTGCCTGATGTTGATATGTTTATAAAGTTTGTGTATCTATATAAATACACATATACACAGCGCGTGCTAAGCGCTTTCCCCACGTCTCGTGCACTTTTTCACTTCGCTGCATGCAAAAAAATCTACATGGGGGCGGAATCCAAAATCTACACCCCTCCTCGCTCCGCACGGTTCTTTTCCTGTCACATGATCAGTAATTGGATCCTCCTCTCCCTCTCTCTCCCTCTCTCTCTCTCTCTCTCTCTCCCTCCCCCTCTCTCTCCCTCCCTCTCCCCTCTCTCTCTCTCTCTCTCTCTCTTCCCCCCCCGCCTCTCTCTCTATAACTCAGCCCCCAGGTTCCTCTCGCGCTCCACTCACACTCACTCACTCGCTCTCACAAACACTCGCGCGCAGCGCGCAGCTACAGCTACAGCTAAAGTGCAGGAGCGAAGGAGAAACAAACGCTCGCGCTCCGAATCGGTCCGTCCGCGAGGCGAGGAAGGAGCGAAGGAGGAAGGAGAGCAAGAAAGACAAGGAGGAGAGAAAGAGAGAAGAGCGCGCGGAGGAGGAGGAGGAGGAGGATGGAGAGTTTGGGCTTTTTATCGCTGGTTCTCCTCGCAGTCCGGGCAGCTCACAGTCACCTCCATTCCGGTGAGTGGAGAGAGGTTCTCCGTTCTCCTGCTCAGAGTTCTCAAAGCTCTCCGCTCTGCCGAGCTTCGTAGGTTAGAAGAGCACTTAAGTGCGTCTGTTTGAGATTTACTGGAGAGACGAGGCTGAACTTGGCTTCTTGTTGCGAAGTTTCCGTTCCACCTTAAATGGTGCAACAGTTACATTCTGTACATTTAAGGTGGAACGGAAAGTTCGCAACAAGCAGCTGAGGCAAGTGCGATTTAGGAGGCGTGAAGTTTGCACCAGGCTAACTTCTGGAGGGCTGAAGACACGCAGAAGTGTTTATCGACTCTCACAGCCTCATTAGCACCTCATTAATTGATTATTAATGAGCTAATGACCTTAAAAACACTGAAATGCAGATCTACAGGACTGTATGTGAGGAGCAGTGTTGGGAAACACTTGCTCTTCCTGCTCATTTCCAGCTAAATCCAAACTTTGGTACGCTTTGCTGTTCATCTACGCCTAATTAATAGATTATTAATTAGCTAATAAGTTGATCCAGGTGTGTCAGAGCAGAAGAAGCAGTAGAAATGTGCTGCAAGACTGGGACACTATACATTCTCGTAACTCAAATGAAGCAGATGCGGCTCTAAAACTGCTCATTAATTAGTTAATAATGAGCTAACGAGAGTATTCCGGTGGGATAAAATCTATAAAACACTAATTAATGATCTAATTAATGGATTATTAATGATTATTAACTCTAAAACACTGTAAAATGTGGGATGAAACAGTGTTGTCCTCATAATTCATAGCTCAAATGAAGGAAAATGTGCAGATACAGCTTTCTTTGCTCTAAACCTGCCACTGTAACCTTACAAAGGGGTTTATTAATTGATTATTAACGAGCTAACGAGATGGATCAGGTGCATCACAGCTGGAAAAACAGTAAACCGTGCAGAGTGAGTGTGCTGTACAGAGGTGCTGGGGAAATGCTTGCTTTCAATGTTTTCTAATGTTATTACTGTTTGTTTACGCTTTGTTTGAGCTAATAAATTGATTATTAATGAGTTAATGAGCTGAATCAGGTGTTTTAAAGCAGGAAAAACACTGCACTGCGCAGTGTGTGGACTAATACCGCCGCAAAGCTGGGAGACGGTGTAGATTTCATCATTTAAGATGACGGCAAATGTGCCAATGCAGCTTTTTCTGCTCTAAAACCTCCAATTTAACCTCGTTAATAATGATTAATAATGAGTTAATGAGCTGAATCAGGTGTATTACAGCAGGAAAGGAACTAACATGTCCAGACTGTGTGGATCTACAGCGGCTGCACTGGGAATCTCGAGGTCTAGATGTTTCCTGGTCCTGAACAGAAACAACAGTGGAAACTAAGGCACAGTTGGGTGTTTATCTGCTCTGATGCACCATATTTAACGTAATAATTGGATTATTAATGAGCTAATGAGCTGCATTAGGTGTGATAGAGCAGGGAGAACACTAATAGAGCGCTACTACAGCACTGAGCTAAAACAGTAGCAGGACTGGGAAACTGCGTAGTTGTGTATCATGTACAAGAATGAACATGTACAGATGCAGCTGCTCTACAGCTGCCAATTTAGGCTCGTTAATGGGCTAATAATGAGTTAATGAGCTGAATCAGGTGTGTAATAGCACTGAAATGAGCAGACGGTGTGGATCTGCGGGAGTGGTGTTGGGAAACGCTGCTGAACAGATATAGAAGTGAAGAAGTGAAGAACACACGTTTAGTGTTTATCTGCTCCTTTGCGCTGATTTTAAACGTGTAACGGGATTTTTAACGGAATAATGAGCCGAATCAGGTGTGAAGGACACCGGAAGGTGCAGAGTTCCCTCGTACAGACGCAGACGGACAGTCAGAGCAGCTTTACTGATGAAGCGATGAGCGGCGTCAGGTTTGTGAGTGTATCTGTCACAGTTGTTACGGAGTCGCCTGATCTCAGTCGTTGGCCTTTAGGATTGTGTGTTTATGTCACCGTGTTTATGTGGAGTTGAAGCAAACACACTTGAAGCTGAAAGCTCGTTTATGTTTATGAGACGCATCATTAGTCTCACTAAAACAACAAACGTCTGGCGTCTGAGTGCTGATGGAGCACCCGAATGTTTGTTTATTTGAGCTGTGTTCGTCGTCAGTTGTGAAGGTTGTGACTGATTTTCTTGTTTTTTTTATTTTATGATGTTATTTGTTATTTATGAATTTTTTGCCAGATTTTTATCTGCTGACGTGTCCTGCAGTTTTCAAGATATTGTTGGAACACTCCGGAATGTTTGCTCCGATCGGGATCAGTGTGTTTGTGTACAGCTTTTTGATGGGATGTATTGTTTTTGTGCAGTGATCGTTAAATGGTGTTTTTGGTACTGTATGAATAAATGGGGGCGGCAACAGTTTGTACACCTCACTTATATCAGGATACATACATGCTAGAAAAACCCTGTTAACCACATGGAATACCATAGCAACCACCTAGCAATACCCTAGTAACCACGTGGGATACCATAGCAACCACGTAGCACACCCAAACAACCACCTGGAATACCACAGCAACCCTCTGGGATACCATAGCAACCATGTAGCAACACCCCAGCAACCACATGGAATGCCATAGCAACCACCTGAAATACCATAGCAACCATGTGGCAACACTCCAACAGCCACATGCAATACCATAGCAACCACCTGAAATACCATAGCAACCATGTGGCAACACTCCAACAACCACATACAATACCATAGCAACCACCCAGGATACCGTAGCTACCACCCAAGATACCATAGCAACCATGTGGGATACCATAGCAACCAGCTAGGAACAGCTTAATCTGTAAAATCACTCTGGGTTTTTCAGGAAAGGCTCTTTTCTGGTTTTTTAAGTTGCACTTAGAGCTGCTCAGTATCATCAGTCAGGAAGCTTCATGACTCATTAGCCTGATTCAGACGCTTTAGGCTTTACTCTAAAGCTGCGTACAGTAAACGTGAATTAGGTGGCAGTTCAGGCTGAACATCTCGATTATAACGTCGCGCATGGTAAGAATAAGATAATGCAGTACGTGTGATTCGCCCCGCCGTGTGTTTGTGTTTATATCTTCAGTCCAGCTGATCAGGGTGTCAGTTATTCATGGTCAGTTAATTCTACCCCTCTGACTTCGTGGGCTGTGCAGTACTGAACGTTTCCCCACTGCAGCAGTTCAGTCGCACCAGCTGCAGCGCAGGTTCAGTTCCAGTGTTTACGGTATTTGCTGTTTAGTTTGGGGCTGTAATGTCAGATGAGAAGCCAGCAATGATTTAAAAGTTTGTGGTTTGAAAAATAAGCACTTTTAAACGCGTCTCTGTATTCAGAGGCGCCCCCTGCTGTGATGCTGTGCATCAAGACTTTCTGTATTGTTCTGTGGAATTTACTGATTCAGTAAAATGTATACATATATATATATATATTTAAGAGAAAGTCGTTAAGCACATCTGCGACTTCATCCTCTGTAGAATCCAAATCTCCAGACTGGCTGCTTTCAGTGTTTTCGTTTTTTAAAGAGAAGTAATGTTTATGTTGGGCTGTTTTAGGTTCATTTGTACAAGGACTTTTACACTGAAGAGCCTGAATACGGGGGGAGTGGTGGGTTTACTGAAGTAGAGCAGAGGCTGTGTTTCTTCTCACTGTGTTTGGTAAAATAAAAAATAAAGCTGCGTTACGGACCATAAATGTTTCTCTGGATTTTGAATCTAAAGAGGCAAATATATATATATATGTATATATATATATATGTGTGTATGTTTGTGTATATATATATATATATATATATATATATATTATATATGTGTGTATATATACCCACACAAGCTCCTGCTGGTGTGGATTCCCTCACACTCAAAGATGAGTGTTAACAGCGCCCCCTTGTGGAAAACATGTTGAATTTCACAACATGAACATTAAAATACAGCATTTTACACACAACTTATATTGTTATCACAGCTAAAATGAAAACTTAAGAATAGTAACTTTTTTCGAATCATTTCGAATCAAAAGAATCAGCACTTTTATAGGTGACATCGGCACTAAATGCTAAAAAACTTTATGTACAGCTCTGCACTGAGTTGTCAGCTAAAACGTGCTGATCGTAACAGGCCTGTCGGTGTGGACGCAGTGAGTAGATTAGCTCTATTAATGGATTAATAATGAGCTGAATTCGGTGTGTTAGAGTGACTCTTCTTCATGAACAGGAACATTAATGTGATATTTTAATGTCATAACTCTGATTTTCACCTTATTACTGTGTTATTAGTAGAGTACAGAGCTGACTCTGGTGTGTGAGGGAGCGTTCGAGCGGGTTCTGTTGTGCTGTATTTCAGAGCAGCAGGGTTTCCGTGTCTGTTCTCCGCTCTCTGAGAACAGCGTCTCTGGAGTTCCTCCTCGTGAGGAGCACATGGCCGAGCCTCGTCATCCTCAGACGACACAAACAGCAGAAGGAAAAAAGCAGAAAAGCTCTGCAGTTTAATAACGACCACATGAAGCCGAAGTCCTCACGCTGTAATTTGAGTTTGCTTTTCAAGTCTCGAAAGGCGAATCCCGAAGCTTCCTTTCTAATTTTTTGCTTCTTAATTACAGCCTTCGATTCAAATGAGGGGTTTGGCCATCTGGGCAGCGTAAGCAGAGCCATCTGTACCTACACATTAACCGCACCTCTCAGCAGAACCTCAGCAGAACATCAGCAGAACATCAGCACAGAGTCAGAGCGCAGATCAGACTCCCTCTGTTCACATCAGACTCCCTCTGTTCACATCAGACTCGCTCTGTTCGCATCAGACTCGCTCCGTTCACATCAGACAGAAAGAGAGAGACATACGATGTAAATGGAGAGAACAGAGGAATAGATAAAGAGAGGGATGAAAAGAGAGTGAGAGGGGAGAAACTGTGAAAAGCTCAAATTAACGAATTCTCTCAAATTTTTAAAATTCTAACTGACTAGTTTTCTCAGTGAAAGACACACAGTATGTCACTGCCTGAGGG